GACGGCACCACCTACGCCAGCGGGTGCCAGCTGCGCGCCGCCAGCCTGACGGCCGAGAGCCGCGGCGAGAAGGCCATCACCCAGGTCAGCAAGGGCACCTGCGAGCAAGGTGGGCACGAGCGCGGTCCCCGCCACCCCTGCGCGACTCCTCTGGAGGGCATCTCGGGAGACGGACGGGAGGGGAGGAGCTGGCAGCCGCGGGGTGCTGGGAGGAAGGGGCCCCGCCGCCCCTCTCTTTTTCTGATGGATTTATTTTTGAGAGTTTTGTGAGTGCGCCAAGAAAGTGAGAAGTCGCAGGCCCGGGTGTATATGATAGGAAACATTTTCCCAGAACGCAGACTTGGCCATCCCCAAAGCTTTCTCCACTCGTGCTGACAGCTGGCAAGTCGATTTGCGAGAGCTGCCCCCCCACACACACACACACACCCACATTCTTTTGGGAACCCAGAGAGTTTGGCTTGAGTGTGGGGAGAGAGGGTGAAGCCAACAGATGAGGAAAGGAGTTTGACAGTGAAATACAGAGGAAGGACTTTCCATGGAAAAGTTGTTGGTCCCACGGTCAATTGATTGACTAGATTGTCAAAATTTCCAAAATCCAATTTCATAGGGATTTCCTATTCTTCAACAGTAAGGAAAACAATTCACTTCCTGGAAATGACAGATTCTCAAAAGGTGAATCTGGCTAGCTAATCACTTGTGGGAAAAATAAAATACAACTTCTTTGAAGACTGTTTTTCTGACGTCGTTTATGTGTGAACCTATGACCATTCTGGTTTTGTTTCTTGTCCTTTGTGTGTGTGTAATTTGTCCCCAGGATGCCGTAGTCGGTGGGAATGCCTTTGAGATTGTGTCTGATCATGTATTCTCAAGCCCAAGCTTGCCACACACGAAATGGGAAAATAAATCGAGTCCGGACTTGCAAAAAAAAGACTCTAATGCTTGCAGTAACATTTTCCATCAGCAGTAGTTTCAAGGGAAAGTTAGAACTCCAGCGTTGGCAGCTGCTCTCCTGGTCCCAGCCAGGGTAGAAAAAGGGAGAGGAGGCGGGTTTTCTGAGAAGAGTGAAGCTGTGCTGCTTTAACACAGTTCAGACTTCCTCCAACATTTCCAAATAATAATTCTATCTTTAGAACTTTTCTCAGAAGTTCTTATACTCATGGATTGTATGTTACCATTTCAAAGTTCAGTATTGAAAGACTTAAATCATGTAACTCACTATGAGCTATTGATAGTATCGCCACCTTCAACTTAGACCGTTCTCGCCCCAAATCATCCATGCGCTTTTCCAGCAAGAACACACATTCATTTCTTTGGATCTCCCTTCACAGTCACATCATGAAATGCATTGCTGGAGAATTCATTCCAAATAGTGAGATTTTTCTTATAAGTGGTCTAATGGGCAGTCCCCCCCCCTTTCAAAATCACTGCTACGTACCTGATTGGAGCAGAGTATTAGAATAGCTTGCTGAGTGTGAAGTGTGGCTGTCCCTTGTAGCCAAAGACTGGCTTACCCTGTTTTCTGTTGCCATGTACAGCTCTACACACGCAAACGGTATGATTGTGTTGTATGTGTTGAGATAAGCCAGTGAGGGAAACCAGTCTCCTCCCTGTGTTGACACCCAGAAACAGTGCCTCAAGGCTAGTCTTTTTTTTTTTTTTTTTTGAGAGGTTTTTGCTATAGGGCACGTGCGCGCACCAGACAGACAGACAGAGAGACAGAAAGTGAGAAATCACCCCCCAGGGGGGATGGCCACGCAGCAATCCCTTCTCCTCCATTCTCCTCGCGGGATCTTGGGCACGCACACACATGGGCACGTATGAGTTTAAGCCACCGGGTCTGGGACTCGAACCGCGGCCAACTACGTGGGAGTCCAGCAACATAGCCATTACGCTGACTGCTGGTCCCAAGGCTAGTCTTTATATCTGGAAAAGTGTTAGGAGAAATAGCACCTGACACTGAAAGCTTGACTGACATAAATTAGCTTTTTCTTCCCAATCTGGGCTGAGAGATAACAGAGATTGCCAGAGACATTAGGAAAGAGTGTGAGAGCCAGAGTCCTTTTCCACAACTCCTGATATTCCTCAGGTGCTGAATTACTGTTTGTAACCCTCATGACAGGCCACCCCTCCCAGAGCCCTGTGAGATAGTTCGGTTATAGTTCCTATTTGACAAGGGAGAAGACCCCTGGGCAGAGGGTGGAGTAAAGCTTAGTAAGTGGCAGAGTTCGGGCTCGCACACAGGGAGTCTGGTTCTTGAGCTCACTGTCGCCACTGCTGTGCCGGAATGCCTTTGGTGTATGTGTACACAGCACGTGTGCAATAGATACCTTTTGAACAATGGCTGGGTGCACACCGAGCCCTGGAAGAACAAAGCCACCAATCTGGGGCAGGGGAGAGTCAGGGAGCTTCCATAGAGAAAGTGACAGAGCTAATCCCTGAAAGCCAGAGAGGAGTCCAAAGGGGGGAAAGATAAATGAGGGATGGTGAGACCCGGTGTGTGTGGAGGAGAGGCGTCACCCCAGGTAGAAAGCACAGCGCCTACGGAGGCATGGAGGCGTGTGGGAATGTGGCGTGTTGATAAGTGAATGTGGCCGGGCGTAAAGGAGGTTGGAGAGAAGAGGCCGAGATGTTAAAATGAGAAGAGGCGTGTATGCCCCTTGGGGTAATTGGAACTTGGTCCTAAAAGTGCTGAGAAAGGAGACCCAGGTTCCACCAGTAAAAAAATAATTTCGGGGGCCAGCAGATGGCGGAGTGGTACATCGCTGGGTTCCCACGAGGCAGACGGCAGTTGGAGTCCAGACCTGGTGATTTGAAACTCATGCCTGGCGCATGCACATGTGTGCCCAACACTCCAGGAGGAGAATGGAGGACACGGGATTGTGGCACGGCCCTCCCCCCTGGGGGGTGATTTTCTCACTTTCCTTTTCACTGTCTCTGTCTCTCTCTGTGTGGAGAGCACACTTGCCCTAAAACAAACACCTCTAAAATAATAATAATAATAATAATTCTGAGGGAGAGGAGAGATGGATACACCAAGGGACCAAAGTAGCTAAAATGGATTTGCCCAGGAGCTGAGATGGAAGGAACCAGGAACAAATAGCGTGACTGAGAGCTGGAAGAGAGGAGCACCAGGGTCTCCTCCAGCCCCGAGGTGTGCCTGAGGGCGAGCGCACTCCTCTGAAGACAGGTGAGGACCTGCCTGTCTCGCTGCGTTCTCATTGCATCTTCTCCCTTCGTGAAGGCCAGGGACCTAGACTTGTGACCCTGAGTCATCTTTGTGGCCTCAGCTCTCCTGAGCACCAACATTAGATGGTCCCTCCGCACCAGTTCCCACATTTCTATATCCCCCTGCTGGTGGGAATTAGGTCCAGAGCAAAAGAAAGTGCTTGGTCATGGTCAGTGGAGAGAGCTTCAGTAAGAATTTCGATTTTCAGAAATTCCTTTTGTTTGGGAACCAGCAGTTAGCGTAATGGCTATGTCGCTAGACTCCCATGTAGTCAACTGCAGTTCGCGTCTCGGACCCGGTGGCTTAAAACTCACGCCGGGCGCGTGTGCGTGTGTGCGTGCCCAAGATCCCGAGAGGAGAATGGAGGAGAAGGGATTGTGGTGTGGCCATCCCCCCTGGGGGATGATTTCTCGCTTTCTGTCTCTATGTCTCTCTCTGTCTGTCCGGCGAGCGCACACGCCCTATAGCAAAAAAAAAAAAAAAGAAGAAAAGAAAAACATTCACTCTTTAAGGAGTTCATTTTTAGGCTCATTTTCTGTGAGTCTGTGATGCTGAGGCTCATGGGAAAGCCTGTTCGTATGCACACCAGGTATATCCCCAGTTCTGTGATCCAGGCTGGCTAGGGCTGGGGGCAGGATCACAGAGAGGAAATGCTGTCCAAGGTGCTTGTCTCTCTGTCTCTGTCTCCCTCTCTCATCAAAGAAATTTTTTAAAATAATAAATTTTAAAAAGAAGAAAATTCTGTCATTTGCAGCACCAGCCTCCCTTCGGTTAATAGGAGATGAGGGAATATGTGGTGTACATCCCTAGTGGAATTACTATTCAGCCTTTAAAAAGAAGGAAACCCTGTTATTTGTGACAACTTGGATGAACTCAGAGGGCATCAGGCACAGAAGACAGGTACCCTGAGACCCCACTCAAGTGTGAAAGCTAAAAATGTTGAGTTCATTGGGGACCAGCAGGTGGCATGGTGGTTAAGGTGTTGGACACTCCCCCCATGGCTAACCACGGTTTGAGTCCCAGACCGTTTGAGTGCCACCCCGGGCGGCTTCCATTGTCCCTTTCTCTCTCTCTCTCTCTCTCTCTCTCTCTCTCTCTCTCTTTCTGTGTGTCTCTATCTAGTCAAATTTTTAAAATTAATGAATGAATAAATAAATAAATAATAATTTTTAAAAATTTTTTAAAAATGTTGAGTTCATCAGCAGAGCGTAGAATGATGGTTATCCAAGGGTGGCAGGCGAAAGGGTTGGAGAGATCTTGGCCGACGGACACCCACCACATCTCAGTAAGGAAGAGTAAGTTAAAGAGACCTATTGTATGTCATGGGGGACTAGAAATAATAGCAGTGTGTTGTATTCTGGGAAACTGTCAGAAGATTAGATTTTACATGTTCTTGATGCAACAAATAAAATTTTGGGTCGTCAAAAAAATAGTGACGTATTTTTCTGTTTCTCTATGCAAAAAAAAAAAAAAAAAAACCTTTTCTGATGACCCCATAGGTATGTGAAGTGAGACATATGTTAACAAGCCTGAATTAACCATTCCACAGTGTACACATTTATCAAAACATGTTGTACATGTTTTGTATAAATATATACAATTTTTACTTGTCAGTTAAAAGAAGTGAGGGCCAGACCCGTAGGGCAAAGGTTAAGCACAATACATTGGGAGCTGGATCTCACATGGCCGATCAGTGGCTTGAAAATACACCATGAGGGGCCAGCAAGTGGTGTAGTGGTTAAGGTGCTGGACTCCCACACAGGTGACCACAGTTTGAGTCCTAGACCTGGCAGCTTGAAAATCACACGGGGTACTTGTGCATACATGCCCAAAATCCCAGGAGGAGAATAGAGATGGAACTATAGTGTGACCACCCCCCCCAG